AGAACTTACCTGTGAGATGTTTTAATCTTACTGATTTTATCCAACAAATATTCACTGATGGCCTACCATGTGGCAGGCTTATGCAGACTGACCTTGAAGAAGCCATAGTCCTTGCTCTTAAAGTCTAGACGCGGTTAGGATCAAAGTGTGTATCTGGAAACATGATAGCGAAGGGCAGGGAACAAGGGGGTGGAGGGACGGGGGTCCCACAGGACAAAAGAGGTGTATACCAAGTCTTGAGGGAAGAATGGGTGTTTGCCGGGTAGACAGGCTTGAAAAGTCTTGCATGAAGAGAGAACATGTGCACTGAGGAGTGAAATAATGTGGTGTCAAAGTGTGTGATTCAGTGTGCTTGAAGCATGAAGTGAAAGATGCCAGGAGCTGGGATGGACGGCGCAGAGGGAGTTCACCGCACTGCAGTCCGCCTTTGTAACCAGCCAGCCGCCAGCACCAGGCTGCTCAGACTGCCTGGGGAGGGCGGGGGAACCAGGTTTTTTGTGTTTTGGTTTTTTTCTCTGTCAGCTTTTGTTGTAGATTGATACTTTGTAAAATGCAAACTAGAAATATGAAAAAAAAATGCTCATTTTTTAAAATTAAGATTAAGAGACATCAAATTGCTCTGTCAAACTGCTATGAAATTTTGAAATGTTCACTCTCCATTTCTGTATCTGTCTCTTATGGATGGTAGCAACCAGATCCCTCCGTGGATCACTCATGAGTAGCACCACACTAGCTTCCCAGATGAGTGGGAAAGATGTGCCTGGGTGTCGGGAATTTTGCCATAGATGGTTGTAAATGCAAGTCTTAAGTATACCTCTGGGACTGTCCACACAGATGATTGGCACTCAGAGGCTGAGAACCATATTGTAAGTGACACAGCATCGTTTAGGGGAAGTTACTAAGTACTCATAACCTTGGCAACTGTATTGTTTGAACCTGGTTAAATCACTATATTTTTTAAATTAATTAATTTTAAAGATTTTATTTATTTACTTGGGAGAGAGAAAGAGAGCATGAGCAAGGGGAGGCACAGAGGGAGAAGCAGACTCCCCACTGAGCAGGGAGCACGATGCAGGACTCGATCCCAGGACCCTGAGATCATGACCTGAGCGGAAGGCAGATGCTTAACTGACTGAGCCACCCAGGTGCCCCTAAATCACTATATTTTAAAATACAAAACTCTCCTCCTCAAAATAAGTGTATAAAATGAAGTATCTTAAGGGAGGTAATTTTTTTCCTCTTTGATAAAAGTAATGCTTTTCAACCTTCAACTGCGTATTAGAATCACCTTGGACTCTTTAAAAATGATACTGATCCTGGGTCCCACCTCCTCAGATTAGTTTGATGCCACCTCAGCATCAGGACTTTTTCTTTTTATTATGTTAATTACCATACATTACATCATTAGTTTTTGTTGTAGTGTTCCATGGTTCATTGTTTGCGTATAACACCCAGTGCTCCATTCAGTACGTGCCCTCTTTAATACCCATCACCAGGCTAACCCATCCCCCTACCCCCCTCCCATCTAGAACCCTCAGTTTGTTTCTCAGAGTCCATAGTCTCTCATGGTTCATCTCCCCCTCCGATTTCCGCCCCTTCATTTTTCCCTTCCTACTATCTTCTTCTTCTTCTTTTTTTTAACATATAATGTATTATTTGTTTCAGAGGTACAGGTCTGTGATTCAACAGTCTTAAACAATTCACAGCGCTCACCATAGTGAGCTCTCCCCAATTCTATCACACAGCCACCCCATCCCTCCCACCCCCCACCACTCCAGCAACCCTCAGTTTGTTTCCTGAGATTAAGAATTCCTCATATCAGTGAGATCATATGATACATGTCTTTCTCTGATTGACTTATTTCGCTCAGCATAACACCCTCCAGTTCCATCCACGTTGTTGCAAATGGCAAGATTTCATTCCTTTTGATGGCTGCATAATATTCCATTGTGTATATATACCACATCTTCTTTATCCATTCATCTGTCGATGGACATCTTGTCTCTTTCCATAGTTTGGCTGTTGTGGACATTGCTGCTATAAACATCGGGGTGCACGTACCCTTTCAGATCACTACATTTGTATCTTTGGGGTAAATACCCAGTAGTGCAGTTGCTGGGTCATATGGTAGCTCTATTTTCAACTTTTTGAGGAACCTCCGTACAGTTTTCCAGAGTAGCTGCACCAGCTTGCATTCCCACCAACAATGTAGGAGGGTTCCCCTTTCTCCGCATCCCCGCCAACATCTATCGTTTCCTGACTTAATTTTAGCCATTCTGACTGGTGTGAGGTGGTATCTCACTGAGGTTTTGATTTGGATTTCCCTGATGCTGAGCGATGTTGAGCACTTTTTCATGTGTCTGTTGGTCATTTGGATGTCTTCTTTGGAAAAATGTCTATTCATGTCTTCTGCCCATTTCTTGATTGGATCATTTGTTCTTTGGGTGTTGAGTTTGATAAGTTCTTTATAGATTTTGGATACTAGCCCTTTATCTGATATGTCATTTGCAAATATCTTCTCCCATTCTGTCGGTTGTCTTTTGGTTTTGTGGACTGTTTCTTTTGCTCTGCAAAAGCTTTTTATCTTGATGAAATCCCAATAGTTCATTTTTGCCCTTGCTTCCCTCGCCTTTGGCGATGTTTCTAGGAAGTTGCTGTGGCTGAGGTCGAAGAGGTGTTCTCCTTTAGGATTTTGATGGACTCCTGTCTCACGTTTAGGTCTTTCAACCATTTGGAGTCTATTTTTGTGTGTGGTGTAAGGAAATGGTCCAGTTTCATTCTTCTGCGTGTGGCTGTCCAATTTTCCCAACACCATTTGTTGAAGAGACTGTCTTTCTGCCATTGGACATTCTTTCCTGCTTTGTCAAAGACTAGTTGACCGTAGAGTTGAAGGTCCATTTCTGGGCTCTCTATTCTGTTCCATTGATCTATGTCTCTGTTTTTGTGCCAGTACCATACTGTCTTGATGATTACAGCTTTGTAATAGAGCTTGAAGTCCGGATTTGTGAGTGTCAGGATTTTTTAAAAAGTCCACATTGATTCTAATGTGCAGCCAACTTTCTCCTAGCGGACATGCTAATGACTCATCATGTTTTCTGATTGAGACCTTATGTCAAAGAACAGCGTAGTAATTGTACTCTAAAACTATCATTTGAATTTGAATGTGGTGCTTAAAGATATTAAGATGGTTTGAAATGCAATAATCTAGTGTATCATAGATGCTATTAGAGTTTCTTCTGACCCTCCCTGCCAAATCCCATTATTTTAATTATAATTGATGGTATATATATCTTTCAGTATAGCTTATTCAGTATCTAGAATACGTAAACTAGTGTTAATAAATACCCTTATAAATTAAAGCTTGTGAAATCTTGATTTTTCTGTTGTCTGCTTCACCTGCTGCTATCCATTGATGGCAGCAATATTAGGTGTTGTATTAATCTCCTAATAAGATTTGATTAGAACAACTTGCCGTGAACATCTAACATCCAAAGTGCAGTTGTTGCTGGATTTTAAAAATCTAATCCCTTGAAATTATTTATTTAACTCTTACTTTAGAGTATTAAAATTTCAGGTCTTGGTCTACACTATGACACTCCTTGATACTTTCTAAATCTCCAAATAGCATACAATAATATCAATATAGAAACACTTCCTGTGGTGAATTATTATTAGTCTATTTATGGTTCCGAAAGCTAGCTACAGCCTGCAAAGATAAAAGATTCCCCGCCCCCCCCTTTGCTAGTGTGCTCTTCATGTGGTAAACGCTCTGAACATTCAGTGATTTACTCATTCAGTAAACAGCTTTTGGGTGCCTACTTGTGCTAGATACTGGAGATACGAAGTTTAAAGCTCTTAAAGGAACAGGATGGGAATAGAGTAACAGCATACTACTAGCCACTAATACATAGATGGAACAGCTTTCATACGTGCAAAATGAAAATAATTTTTTTAAAGGATTCCATCTGAGAATCTTCTTTTTTTTTTTAAGATTTTATTTATTTATTTGACAGAGAGACACAGAGAGAGAGGGAACACAAGCAGGGGGAGTGGGAGAGGGAGAAGCAGGTTTCCCGCGGAGCAGGGAGCCCGATGCGGGGCTCAATCCCAGGACCCTGGGATCCTGACCTGAGCTGAAGGCAGATGCTTAACAACTGAGCCACCCAGGCGCCCCAAAATGAAAATAATTTTATTCTCCCCCATACCCCATCATTTCGAATAGGCATTTAGTTTTGGATATACCAGCCTTACTTGCTTAAACCTCTCTCTCTGTTTTCTCTCTTTCCCTCCTTGTTTTTTTTGGAAAGTTGTTAGGGGAAAAAAAATACCCTAAAACTAGTTTACCGACTATTTTGGGGTCCTGGGCCAGTCATTTAATCCCTCTGAGTCTCCGTTTCCTCTACTGTAAAAAGATGATGCCATCTCTGCCCTGTTAATGTGAGTTTGTCCTGAGGATTATGAGAGAAGTTATATGTAACAGTACCATCAAAATTTGAAAAACACACGGTTCAAGTATAAATGGACATTATAAAACAATTTTTTAAAAGAAAGTAAAAAGAAACCTTACATAGATGTGTGGTATAGGTACCACAGCAAAAAACAGTGTGGGTTCCTGAACCCCGACAGTGAAGGACACATCAAAGTTAAATTCTGTGGAAGTTTGCTTCCATGATGGATTTTTTTTTTTTTTTTTTTTTTACTTTTTACTCAGCTCCCGAAAAAGAAACTTCCTGGGTTTTCTTTCTCCTCCTACGGTTCTGCAGTGGCAGGGCTGTTTCTTGTCCAGAGCAGCTCTGCCACGGCCCCTCTGCACAGACTCTCCACCTCCTCTTTCTCTTTCTTTCAAACACTTAATACATTTAGAGACTGATCTTGTGCAGAAAATATCCCTGACATTTGAAGAGCCCCAGGGATTCAGTGAGCATGCTCCGCGCTCCCTCCCGCTGGGAAGAGGAAGCTCGTTTACATACGAGTCATACCAAGCATAGCCAGCATGTCAGCGCAGTGAACTTGCAGCGGGCTGTGAGGAAAGCGAGCGTGGCTTTGTCCTAGGAAACGTGCTTCGTGTTTTGCTTTTTCACTCCTTTATTTCGAAGAAAGACTCGTAAAGACTTCTGAAACGGTTTTTAAGTGCTCGACTGAGGATACAAAACATATACCGTCTACAGATAAACCCTTGAAGGGTTTTTGTGTGAGTTTGATTTTTTGTGCGTGTTTTTTTTTCTTTTTCCTTTTCTTTTTGTCTTTCTTTTCTTTCTTTCTTTTTTTTTTTTTTTTACTTTTACATACTTTGTTTTGATCATCTGAGGCTGGGCCTCACGGTCTTTGTGAAGTTTGAGACGAGCCAGGAGCTACTCAGTAATAATTGATTTTTGAAACGTACTCTTTTGGGGCGAAAGCAAAGAGCTGGTTTTCTGTGCGAGCCCAATAAATGCTATTTATGAAGATGGACCTGTTGAACTACCAGTACTTGGACAAGATGAACAACAATATCGGCATTCTGTGCTACGAAGGTAGAGGTTCCATTCTAGAAATTGCTCTTCTCTTGCTTTTTGTCAAGGCCACTCCTCCTTTAGGGTTCTGAATGCCTTCTGTGTATTTTGTTCTCTTTTTTGGGATTTCAGGGTGCTCTGAAAGACGAAGATTTATTATATACTATTTTCAATACAAAGTTTGTTGTTTGTATCTTAGCCTTCAGGGTTACAGTGGGGGAGGGAAGGTAGTGAAATATAAACTGTTAGAAGTTTCCTTTTTGCTTGCAACATATTAACTCTTCAAATCTTTAACTCTTGATAATATGATTATTTTTTATTTCTGTTGGTGTTCTCTTTAGAGGAAGAACTTCTATAACCAGGAAAAGTTAAACGTGTTGTGTTTTTATTCCCCCCCTGCTTTGATACTTATTTTAAACATGCACTATCTACAGTATTCCTGTTATATTCCAATCAGTGCTTGGGATTTTCATGTAGAGGGGAACAGAAAGTTACAGTGAGTTTTTGTCTTCAGGAGCGATTGTCCCAAACAATGAAGAATTTTTCTATTCAGTTTAGGGGACTGGAAGGGCACCCATGTCACAAAGCACAGGCTGGGTCTTTGTCTGGTTTCCCATTTCCTGTACAGCTCTGAGAGAGTTCTGACATTGAAGGATGTTCCCTCCACACTCCGGTCCCTTGTGGAAGTGATTGCACAACACACCAACCAGAAAGCTAGATTGAAAGAAAGAAGGAAAGAAAGAAACCTACTCTGAATTCTTATTGTTTATTACCTTCTGCTACACCATGAGGTGTTTCCCCACTGCTTTGTACCGTTTCAAACTGTCTCTGTTAGTAGTAAGAAGAGAAAAAGCGATTTCTTAATCTGTTGGAACATTACGTGCGATTTGAAAAAGTGGTAATGGCCTGGGTTTGAGTGGCCGGAGAGGCATCTCCGGGGGAATTCAGCTTGGCAGGAGGAGTGTTTTTTGTTGTAACCACATACAAATCGAGGAGGAGACATCTCCTTTCTGATTCAGTAGGAGCAGTTTCCATGTTTTCTCTTAATAGTGAACTGAACATTTCTCTCGAAAAAGAAAACATTGAAGAAACTTAACGTTTTTCATGTAAAATTTCAGGCCTGTTGCCTAACCAATTGAAAACTTACCCTTTCCCCTTCAAGGAAAATAAAATCTCATTCATACTGTTTTTTTTATTTGTCTGGATAAGGATGTCATACTTAAGATTTTCTTTTTAAAAGGTATATATATATTTTTAACTCCTGCTTGTTCCCACTAATGAGAATTATGGTGGATGGCTTTCTTTGAATCTGCTGCTTTAAGTATCATCTTGCTTCTGAAGTCACTCATTTAAAAGGCAGACTTCTTCAGGATGGTGGAAGCAGCAAGTGACTGGGCTTGTTTCTTGTGAAATTAACATACTGCAGTTTTTAAAAACTTTTCTTTTTTTCAGTGATCAAGAAATCACAAACTTTTAAGGCATTATCTGTTGGCTTGTCTTTGTCATTGTGTAGTATGATATTTTCAAAACAAAACAAAAACGTAATGATCAGCCAAAGAGAGGAATTAGACGGATTGCAAGGAAATTGATACCACATTAATTTTTTATGTCTCCAGTTGGTGGTGGTAAGGAAAAGCTAATGAAAGCTCAGGTCGATTTGTTGTTCTGCAGTCTGTAATATACTCGAGAGTAGTCACTTGCAGTCTTCCCCTTTATTTGGGAGGAAGAAACTTTGATTTTGAAGTTGAGTACATATGTAGCATGATTTGCTATAGTCTGTTTGGTTTAAACATCTGCTGCTATTTTCCTTACTACGAAAGTTAACATTATTTTAACACCAAAATAAATACACAGGAAATGAAGAAAAGCACAGCAAAACTTGAGTGGTGTTTTTAGTGGGTTGTTTATGCCCTGGTGGTTTTCTTCGTATAAACACTGTACACATCTGCTCTGAACTCAAAAGGGTGTTTTGAGGATGGGCATAAATCTCAGCTGGGAATTTTTTTTGGTAAAAAAAAGTTGGAACCATTACTGTTCCTTTAAATCCAATACTTTGAAAGTATTCATATTAAACGTAGCAGCTCACCAGCATTCCAGGGAAGTTATTTGGAAAATGGAATGTACAGTTGGTAGGTAGCATTTGATTTCACTTAGGGCACAGGCAGATTTTACATCTCTTAAGATTAAGGGACAATTTATTTTTCTGATGTTTTCGTTTTAACAATTAAGATGTTGGTGGTTATTCTTTTTCTCCAGGTTAGTTATACCATATTCCCTAGTTGTATAGTTCACAGCTCTACTCTGCAAAATAAACCATGTGTCTGCACTGTCATTCTCAGCCTCTGTGGCAACATATACACAAATAGATCTTTTTTTAGCCAATTATCTTGTAGCATGCAGGGCCTTCCTAAAGTCCTACATTTAGAGTGACACTAAATGGCTCAGATACGGACTCTGCTTGGTGACTGCTCTCTGGCACCTGACTTTGACCATAATAGTCTGTAAGCATAATTGAAAAAGAAGATAAAAGAAAAAATTAACTGCAAATAGGTTTGGGGTGGGACCCATTGGGTAGGAGAAGGAGAAGATTGGCAAAGGGCAGAAAGAATCTCAGTTTGGCTAATTTCTGGAAACCAATTACCTTTATTGGTAATGAGCAAATTAGCAGAACTCTGCTTGTGTTAATGAGTCTGTTCAAAAACCTTATGGTTTATTACCACAGCCCTCAGTAGTTACCAGCTAATCATTCATGACCCTACTGGGTACACTTGAACCCCAGTTTTGCCTCTGTCTCCATGAAAAGCCCTCATTTTTTCTCTGTGAACTCCCGAGAATACTCTACTAGTAGACTGAAAGCCTCATGAAGGCAGGGCATTCTGTCTTGGTCACCACTGTATCCTTGAGTCCTGCCATGGTGCCTGATTTGGCTCCCAGGAAGTGGCTGACTCAAAAAAATCCCATGAAATCTCTCCAATGAATGACAGTGTAGTCACTACTGTATAATTTAGTACTTCACTGTATGTATCTTCTATTCTCTAATTATCTAATTATTGAAGAGCTGTACAGGGCCTTAGATATATCTTAGATTTTTTTTTTTTTTTTTGCCAAGGAAACCGAGGCCCAGAGAAGTAAATTGTTTAAGTTTATTCAGAAAGTTTGTAGCAGAAATGAGTTGTCGTGAGGACTCAGTGGTTTTGATTAGTCTCTGATTTTTCTGGAGCATTACTGCCCCTCTACAATCATTTTATGTCTTGTCTCCTTAATTATTAGCTCCTCGATGATAGGGACTATGCTTGGTCTTGGGGACCCTCCCAGCCCCCAGCACGGGGGTGACATCTTAGATTATAGTGCACCGTGAGCCTGTTCTGGAGTCCTCATTGCTTTGAAGCCAGTTGCTGGTCTAGGTTCCCAGGCTGTTGTGATGTCAGGAAGGAGAGTAATGAGAACTCTAGGTGACCAGCCTTGTTGGAATTTGTTCGCCTTGCTGCTCTGGCACTTAGGTTTGCTTTACTTTTTTTCTGATTGTGCAGAGGAGGAGGCCCTGTGTAATGCCAGTTCACAAAGAGTGTTTTCCCAAGGGAGCAGAGAACTGGTTAGACCATTGATTTTTCTCAAGATGGCTGATGGTTATATTTACATAATTACGTGGTGCTGAAAACATAGGTCCTAATAAATGTGCTCATGGCTGGCCGTGGCTTTAAGCTGCTGTTAGTGATACTTTAATTATGGGTTAAGAGCCATTAGTGTGTAATTTGGTAGAAGAATTCTCCCCTTTTAATTTAATAGTGCGATTTATATTGGGAGAAAGTAAGAATAAATTGCATATTGTGATCATCTGAAAGCTTAAGAGGAGAGTAGTCTAAGTTCCTCACATTTTGAGCTGCTCATTGTTTTAGAACATAATTATCACTTATTTCATCACAGGCTACACTTAATTTTCTGGAATTGAAAGGAAAATGCACACGAGTTGTTGAGTGAGACTGCCAGAGTTCCGAGCAAGATTGGGTGACGGATTTCTTTTGTTTTCTGCCAGTCTAACCAGCAGCAGTTTAGTGTTCTTTGTCTAATGAGTTCAGAGGCATCAGGAAACTTAGAGCATTGGGTACTATTAAGGTGAAAAGGCCACAGAGCAGAGCCATTTGAACCCGCCTCTGTTCCCCAGCCCTGCGTGTCAAGTGACCAGCTCTTGATCCAGGGGTATATTCTGAAGTAGAACATCTGCAACTATTTTGCTGTGGAAATTCATTATACTTTAGCATTTTATTTGCAGGAGAGGGTCAGGAGTGAGGAGAGACGGGGGAGAGGGACAGGAGAGAGAGGTGAAGGGGAGGGGAGAGGTGAAGGGAGGGGAGGGGTGGGCGAGGCTGAGAGGAGCTTGATTAGTTAAACATGCCCAGGTGAGCCCAAGAGATCTCCTGCAAGAGATCTGGCCAGTTTGTATTTCTTCTAATTACAGTTTGTGAAGAGAAGGTGTGATTATATCCTCCTTCCTTCCAGCTCCCCACCCTTGTTTCTCTGCCCTCCTCTGGAAGGATTATTTTACTTGGCTGTTTATCTCTTGGAGCCTACACATGGCTTTGTTTTGGAAGGCAGATTTCTCTTCCTTCCTTTCTCCTTCCCTTCCCTATTGTCTGCATGGCCTTCTATTCCTAGAGTGTTGGGATTTTTTGCTGTAAAGATTTTTTTTAAACACTCCATAAGATGCAAAAAATTCCCCCGCGGCATGTGAGAAGATTCAAAACCTCTCAATATAGCCTCGTTCTGCTCAACTGTGATGATGTTGCAGAAAACGTGGTTTTGTCTGAAGAAATTAGATCCAGATTTAGCACTTCTGCATGTATACAAATAAATAAAACCAGTCTAACCAGGAATTGTTTCTAGATGTATCTGTTTTATCTCTGTATCCGAACATTTATTCAATGACTGTTTATATTTAGTGGTATCTCGGTAATGCATATTGAGTTCATTGGAAATATTCTCTAGCCTGGCTCACCCAACATCAGTTTGTCCTACAAAATAGT